CTTCTTCTCCGATCTCACATACTTTCGCCAGCTCCATTCTCTCTTCATCTGAAGCTTCGAGATCCAAATGAAGAAGATAGTAGTTTCTCGGATGGTGTATCGCTTTAAGCAGCCGCTTCACTCGTTTCCCATCTCCTTTCGTTCCCGTTACCAAATACGCAAACCTCGGAATCTTCGATGTTCTGGATAAGTTCCGATTTGGAGCTAAACCGGAGGATGAATCTGATGGTTTTCGAGAAGTTAGTGTTAAACCCAGAATAAACAAGAGGAAAACACCCAAGATTGAAATTGCTGGTCGAGAATAAGAACGAGGAGAAGAAATGTGAGATCTTTTCATGATTTGATCATACAATTACGATTTCACCGGAACATGTTCATCTAGATCTGAGCCGACGGTGGAGAGAGAAAGAGGAGTAAAGCCGGGAAGAAGACGAAAGTTTTGTTTTTTAATTTTGAAAAAAAAATCGGTTGGTGAAGATCAAAACGCTGTCGTTTTAACGAGAAGACGTGGATTAATTAATAACCGTCCGATTAGTATGAGATCTTTATACACCGTTAGATGAGCTTACTATGAGTCAACGTCAGATTTCACATCGCACACAGACACGCTCACAGTTGCTTACGGAGTTACGAAGCAATCAATTACATAAGAATAAATAAATTTAACGGACATAATTTTTTCAAAATTGACGTAATTTGTTTACAGAAATATCTTAAAAAAATTTGTGGAAAAAAGGAAATCGAGAAATAAATTATTTAAAAAAAATAAAAAATCAAACTAAACTAGAAGCATCAGGTAGACCTTGACGCCAATCGTCATCTCTATTATTATTAGTCGCTGAAACTCGACGGTTTCCGCCGCTGCGATTCACGTTACCGTTAACGTTAACGGTGACGTTGGCTGCTTCGGTCTGTTGTTTAACGGAGACGTCAGTTCGGCAAATGGGACAATTAGGATGATCCTTAAGCCACTCTTCAATACACGACACGTGGAACGCGTGCTTACACTCGATAAGCTGCCGGATTTCATCGCCGTCGGTGAACACCATGAGACACACGGTGCACTCGTTTCCGATCTCCTTGGAATGTGTATCTTTTTGGATTGTCCCGCCGGAGTCAGGAGTTACGGTGGTCTCGGATGTGATCGGCGGGGTGATGTCGACGGTGACGTGAGGTGTATCATCGGAGGAAGTGCTGCTGCGGCGAGATGAAGAGGAGTTGCGGCGAGAGGAGGAACAGGGGATGGTGAAGAAGAGAGCGTAAGCTAAAGCGGGAACGGCGACGATGGCGATGACGGCGAAGATTAGTTTGAGAGGAGAAAGGTCGATGCTCCGTGGAGGAGCTGGGAACGGTGGTGGAGGTCCGATGATGATGAAGGTGGAATTGGAAGTGATGGTGGTGCCGGGGAAGACGGGGGTGGGGATTGAAACGGCGGGAGGTGGGACGACGACGACGCCGGCGCCGGAGCCGAAGGTTGTTGTTGTATTATTGAACATTATTATTATGTTAATATGAAATGTGGTGGGGGAAGAGAGATAATAATGGAAAGTGCTTGCTTCTTACTGACTAAGCTTGTTTTTTTTTCCCTCCGGCTAAAGGTCAAAATTATATATTTGTTAAAGTGAGTGAATATACAAAAACTAAAATTGGCCACTACTAGCAAGCAATAGGTCTTCCAAATGTTATTTGTAACGACAATTTAGTAGTATTCACTCATAGGTTGTATAACTTGATAATCTCAAATGCAACTATCACTTTCCTCATTATTTAACTACACTAGCAATCTAGCATAGTCATTACATAACTCTTTTAAGACTTTTTTTTCTTTTCTGTAAAACAATATAAATTTGTTTCATTGGTTTTTAAAATATTTTTTTTTTTTTGATAGCATGTCTTCATAATCTAATTATCATGTATGTTCTTTTTAGATTTTTAAATACAATGAGAGATGAAGTAGGATCTTCTTTGGTGTTTTGTTATGATGGATTTACATGGGAGTAGTGGTTGGAAATTTGGTGGTTTGTCGGTGCCACCAAAATTATTTATTCTTTATTTCCACTTATTATCTGTGACGCTTGGTTTGGGTCGTAAACTAATGGGCCAGTGATTTCAGCTTTGAGGTATATTGGAGACTAACGATGAACTTCACTTTTTAGCGGTGCACGCTTCTAATTTCTAAATTTTGGTTTTACATGAGGTACTTATTAAAATCTACGATGCATAAGTTATCAACCTATGAGTCTACGACGACAAAGCGTTTTTTTTGTTTGGTCTGAAAAGTTGTGATATGAATTTTGAATATAAAGAGAGTAAGATCTTCGCCATAATTTGATCAAAAATGGAGATTTTATTGTTTAATAGTGAAAAATATAGTTTAATAGTCTCACAAGATATTTTTTTGTGCTACTTTTCATAATTGGTTTATGATCGGTATCAGAATCATATAATAAGATTATACAATGTTTGTATGTAGAACTCTATCTAAATAACATGTCGTACAGCTAAGGCCTAGGGGCTAGGGGATACTCCAAAATATAGTAGAGACCTTAACCACATAAATAGTCACATGAATTACATGTTTTAAAAAAAAATTCAGAATAATCAAATTCATGAAGTTTTGTTTGATGGAGGAAAAGGTGATAAGAAACAAATAAGACCACAAAGATAAAGCCATTTTAGATGTAGACACAAATATATTGTTGTTCTTTATTTACCACAAATCCAACAACGTTGGCTGAAAAAATCAATCTTTTTATATGCTCCCTTTTCTTATCACCAAAATTTTAACATATTTCATAAATTGTTTTAACAAAAAAAAAAAAAAAAAAACTAACGATGAAAACTGTATATATAGTTGACGGTGTCTAATAAAGAATATACTCATTTACGAAGCAATTAACAAGCGACCAATAAATCATCGTCACCGTTATGTAACGGTGGAAAGTCTCCACGGCTCCATCCAAGGCAGGCGTTTACTTCGTCGGGTCTGACTCTTCTCTCTCTAAAATAAAAAACAGAGGAAGAAGAAGAAAAATCAAGATTTGTTGTGTTGGCGAATCCACAGAGACTGATTGATTTTGGTTGCTAATGATGATGACGATACCATCTGCATCGTGCTCATCTTAGCTTCCTCCTCTTTCTGGGTTTATCTCTATTTATTCCACGAGAGCAAAAAAAAAAACTCCTTTTTTCATTTCTTCTTCAAAGTTTCGATTTTTGTGTGTGTTTATAGGATTTCACGATTTGGGTTTCTTCATCTCATATATATCTGTAAGTAGTTTGGTTCTTTGTAGCAATTGTTTGTTGAGAAAGGCTTAGTTAGGTCTCATAGAATGCAGAGGAAACACTACAGAGGTTTGTCAAATCCGCAGTGTGTACATGGGATTGAGCTTAGTCCTTTGCCAAACCTCACGTGTCTAGATGAGGAAGAGAGGAAAAGGTGGATGGAGCTTACGGGTCGCGATTTGAATTTCACCATTCCACCTGAAGCTAGCGACTTTGGTTCGTGGAGAAACCTTCCCAACACTGACTTTGAGCTTGAGAGGCCTACACCTTTGAAGAATCCAACGCCAAGCCACTCTAAGAAATTACTCAATGGATCGGGGCTCAATCTCTCAACTCAACCATCCAACCATTCTAATGGTGAAGCATCCGATTTATCTCCTTCGAGCCACAAGAAGAGGAAGGACTTGTTCTCAAATGGGATTCATGAGGAGGAGTGTTGCTTAACCGTAAACCCACCACCTCCTGTTATCGAAGCTCACCAGAATGAGCCACCAACTTGGTCAAACGAGTTTAGCGGCGCCATGAAAAACGTTTATGGACCTGTTACTGCTGCAAAAACGATCTATGAGGACGAAGAAGGCTACTTGATCATAATCAGCCTTCCTTTTGTGGATTTGAACAGCGTTAAAGTCTCGTGGAGGAACACTCTCACACACGGAATCATAAAAGTTTCATGCCTCAGCACATCGCGCATACCTTTCATAAAGAGACATGATAGAACATTCAAGCTGACTGATTCAGCCTCCGAGCATTGCCCGCCAGGTGAATTTGTCAGAGAGATCCCTTTATCAACTCGAATCCCGGAAGATGCAAACATTGAAGCGTATTACGATGGACCTGGATCAGTTCTTGAGATACTTGTCCCGAAACTGAGAGCTGGCCCGGAAGAGCACGAGGTGCGGGTGTGTCTCCGTCCTAATCTCGGTGGAAATGATCTGATGCTGACTTAAGAAGAGAAACAACTGTTTAGTTTTCTTGTTTGTAGAAGCTTATTATAGGAGTCATCTCTCATTGATATTGGCCACTCATATATAGGCGTTTTCACTGTTTTAATGGGAATTTTCATCACATTGCAGTCTTGTTTACGTTGTGTTGGAATCAACCCTACCCATAGATTCAATTTGAGGTTTGTATAAAGAAAGAAAATTGTTATGATCTCAGATTATGATTATATAATAAGAGCTGTGAGTGCTGACTATAACATTCAAATAAATATGTGAACTCGTTCAAGCAATAAAAATGAATCATATCAGAGATACAGTTTCAGGCTACTGATTGAGATCAAGCAAAAGCTGTCGAAGTGCATCCGAAGAAAGAGGTATATTCAAACACTCTTGACCATCGGAGTTTCTCTTGGTCTTAACCAGTTCGTGTCTTTAAATTCCGTGAGATGAGAGTTCAAAGTCACTTGACTGCTCACAAAGAAGCGTTCCCGAGAGGCTGAATACAGATCATCAG